ATTTTGTTTTGTTTTTGGGGGGGTGTGCTGGGTCAGAGGGCAGATGTGAAGGGATGGGGAAATGAATGGGATCAAAATATGTGGTGTAAAAGATACATAAAAGAAATAAAAAAAGGAAAAAAAGAGCACTGGTTGTCTTAGAGTTTGTATTGCTGCTGTGGAAAACCACAACCAAAGCGATTTGGGGAGAGAAAGACTTATTTGGCTTATACTGTTTATCATCAAAGGAAGTCAGGACAGGAAGTCAAACAGAGAGGGAGAAGCTGATACAGAGACCATGGAGAATGCTGCTTATGGCTTGCTCCTATGGCTTGCTCAGCGGGCTTTCTTGTAGAACCCAGGACCATGAGGATAGGGATGACACCACCCACCATGGGATGGACCCTACCCAGTCAATCATTAATCAAGAAAAAGCCTCACAGCTGCATCTCATGGAGGCATTTTCTCAACTGAGGCTCCCTCCTCTCATATGACCAAAGGTTGTGTCAAGCTGACATAAAACCAGCCAGCACACTGGCATTACTAACAGGGCCCTACACTCATAATTCAATTTAACTTTAATTACTTCCCCAAAGACCCCACCAGCAAATACACCATGGGAAGCTAGGGAGGGGGATAGTCAACAGTCCTTAGAAGAATATGGTTCAGCTCATAACTCTTTCCTTGCCATCTGTTGTGAAACAATTCTCATAGGAAATTGCCCACTCCCTAGCTCCGGTTGAACCAGCATGTCTTTGCTGAGGAGTTCATTCTCATGGTTCCCTCCTTGGATTGCCCCAACTGTATTTGCTCTTTTAAATTATGCCCTGATTTCTACTGAGTAGAAAAATGTAGAGCAAATGGTCAGGTTGGCAGCTGGAGGTAGCATTCTCATATTGAGCCAATGAGATGCAGCCATTTATTAGAGAGAGATCAGTTTCCTGGCAAGCTGGTTTTGGAGTGGGAGGACCTGGGAGCAGGTAGCACTGTGAGAAAGTGACTTTTAGTTGCTGCTTATTTCCCCAGAGCAGTTACCTGCTCAGGTGTGCTGTCTGCAAAATGAGGCCAGGGTTAGCTCAGGCACCTGGGCAACCACAGGCTGACCTTGGAAGTCTGTCAGCGCTCATTCCAGTACCAGCTCTTTTCTCTGCCTAGAAATCCAACCCCTGCCTGGCTTCCCCATGCCTGTGCCTCACTGCTATCTTATCTGTGGCTTCTTGTCTCCTCCTGCTGTTAACACCACCCTCAGTACTGTGTCCCTCACCCCATAGCCCAAACCCCTGTTGGAGTTTTTATTTCCTTCTTCTTGGACACCGCAAAGGCTCATTTCTGTTGATTTGAGATTGTGTTATAGGTTGTGGGGATTAGTATTTTCTGAGAAACAGGAATTCCCTATGAACAAATTTTATTCCCTTTTAGTTTCTTATCAAAGGAGGGAGGGAGGATACAGGTAGGAGGAAGGGAGAGAGGATATCATTGGGAAAGAGGGAGGCAAAGGCATGAGCCCTCTTTTAATGACCATGGGGTAGGCTGGTGATGCTTAATAACTATTGGTTCGTCATAGGAATGCCTGTCTCAACTCACCACGGCAAAAGATCCCTACTGCTTGCTCTGTCTGGGCTTCCCCTATCTTTTGTGCAGCTGCCTCCTCCAGTCTCTGCTCACTCTGAGCACATAGACTTGGAAGTGATGAAATCTGTCTTCCCTGTCTGAGGCAAGAGTGAGCCACCTGGCTCCTCCTGGTCTGGGGATGGGAGCAGGTACTGGAATGTCCCTTACTGACAATCTGCTTCTCTACAGTTGGCTAAAGGGAACACCTTGGAGTTCCCTATCTATGCCCAATGGCCTGACATTTTTGTTTGTTTGTTTTTTGTTTTTTACATCAGCCACTTGTAGCTTCCTCATGGGTCTTTGGGATCCTGAAGAAAGGAATAGAGGTGGGAAAAGTTTAATAGGTCCCCAGGCCCTCAGTAGCTCCCAGACCTTAGCACAACTACTGCTATGACAGAAGTATCATCCAGGCACTGTATTTTACAGAGTGGCCAAGCACAAAGTAAACAACAAACAGTGTCCAAATTCTTAAGTTCCCAAATGCAGAGTCACCCAGGCAGTCTTTGTTCTGAATGACTTAGGAGAGAGAATTGGAAAAATGGAATGAACTGTTTCCAAATGAGCAGCTCTGCAGTGTTTGATACCTTCAGTACATTGTAAAGCCAACACTTCTGTTTAGTTCCAAAATCATGTCGTCTATCATTTCAAAGGAAATCTCATACCGATTACAAGTTTCCCCTTTTCCTGTCTTCTACAACCCTGACAACCACCAGTTTATTTTCTCTCTATTGATTTACTTATTCTGGACTTTCCATGTGAATGAAATCATATAGTATGTAACATTTGGAGTTTGATTTCTTTTACTCAGTGTAAGATAATCCAGATTAATCTATATTATGGTTCAAATGAGTCCTTTGTTTGCGTGACTGAATACTGTTTTATTGTATGGAAAACTACACTTTTCCCATTCATTTGTTTCTGCTTTCTAGCTGTTGTCAATATTGCTTCCATGAACAACCATACTTTTCATTTCCATTATTCTTTGTATTTAGGAAATGCATTGTTGGGTCTTATGGAAATCTAATGTTAACTAAAATTTGATGGGGAATGTACTGTGTATGTTTATCTTATTGATTGTGAAATAAAATACTGTTTGGCTAATGAGACAGCAAGTAGATGGGACTAGAAGTCAAAGAGGATTCTGGGAAATGTAGTAGAGAAGTGATGATCTAGGCAGGAAGTGACATAGCAAGAAGACTCATATTTAAGCAAAGACGAAACAGGAAGGGCCCCTCTTTCCCCTTCACCTCCTCCAGCAGCAGGATGTGATCTTGCCTCGAGGTAACTTCTTGAGTCTGCTTGAGTTGATTTGGAGCCTTGGACCACAGCAATTTGAAGGCCTGACTAGAAAAATGTCTGATCATCCCCTCAACAGAACAGAGCTCTTCTTGCCGGATGGCGTCTAAACTGGTATCTGAGCTTTCCCCTTCTCTTCAGTCTTATTAAAATGTTTGTTCTTTGTGGGTTTTGAATGTGCTGGATTCAGAGGAGACCTATGGTATTGACTCTGTTTCTACCTCATTGAATCTTCCTGCAGCTCTTGAGACACACTTGACTCTACAACTGTTTGAGAAATTCCTTAGAGTAAATCTCTTTACCCCCAACCACCAGTATCACTTACCTGCTTTCCTGCCTGTTTTAGTTTCGTTTCCATTTTCTGTGATAAAACATTCTGACAAAAGCAACTTAAGGGAGAAAGGACTTATTTGAGTCACAATTTCAGGTTATAGTCCGTAGTACAACTATTGCAAAGTTAGAGGCACCAACCCAACTTTAAAACTTACCATATAGGCCCCCTATACCTACCAAAATGTGAACAAAGACCTAGTCTATCAAAGTCCATAGTTCCAGGAAAGTCCCTAAATGTGCTAACCTTGTTCTTTAGCTTCTGCAGTTCTGCTTCTTGCTAACTGAAGTATGACAACCAGGATGTGGTTTTTGTGCATAAAAGACAAAGGGCTGTAAGGCTCTGGATGCATGATTTGGGAAAGTTCTACAGATATTGGTTGGCAATAAAGACTTTCTTTTTGGCTTTAAGGTGTCTGTTTGCTGGTCTCTGGCTTACCTTGAAACACCAACATCCAGGAAAGTCAAGGTGTATTTGAAGTAGCTAGGCACATTATATCCATAGTCAAGCACAGAAAGCCAAGAATTAATACATTCACACTAGTGCTTAGCTTGCTGGGATCACCCCCCCCCTGCTGCTTATGTAACAGATATGAAATGGATGGCTTTTTAAATGATAAAGTAGTTCCTTTGCTGATACCTGTGTCCCTGTTTCCTGTTGTGAAAACTATAGACTAACCAGAGCTTGTGAAAATTGCTTTATGAAATGGAAAACCACAATTATGGTGTTGCCTGACATCCTGGCCACAACTAGGGGCCACAGGAACTGAGGAGGGCCTGGCCTTTTCAACAGTGGAGCAATCAATTGGCTCCTGGCCAGTTGGTGAAAGAAGCTCAAGTAGGTCAGCAAAGCCTTTGCCATGTAAGCATGGGTTCAATGTCATGAACCCATACATAAAGTTGGGGATTGTAGCACAACTGGGAATCCCAGGACTGGGGAGGCAGGGGCAGATCCTTGAGGCTTGCTAGCTACTTAATCTAGCATAATGCACAAGCTCTAGGCTAATGAAAGGCCCTGTCTCAAGAATAAGGTAGATGACACCCCGTGAGAAATGGCATCCATGGTTGACTTCTAACCTCCAAAGGCATGCTCATTGCGGGGAGGGAGAGGGAGAGGATCCACAAGCATCAAGCATGCAGGGATCATTTGGGGCTCAGGAGTAAACCTAGGCTTATCATGTCCTGCAATGCTTGTGCTTGTCTCCTGTGAGCAGCTCATTCTTTTCTTGAGCTTTGAAAATTACACCCTAGCCCTCTTGGTAGATAGGGATTAAGAGCAGAGTGTGCAGTAGGGGCACTGTGGCAAAATGAGCCACAGCTAGACCCCAGACCTTTTTCTTTCCCAAGGGTCTGCTGTGCGACTATTCAAATGTAAACATCTTGGCAAATTAATGTGATACCTGGCAATTTAGGACAGAGGAAAACAACATAGTTAAACCACTTACATCAGTAGAAAAGGAGGTCAGTGGAAAACGTGGCCCTTGTCTCTCATACACGTGCCCTTGTGTGAGGTTTGGGAAATGTCTATGTCCAGGAAGGTTGCCTTGGGCAGTCGCCCAACCTTCCTCTACACTACACAACTAGTGAAAAGATAAGATTTCTCAGCGGAGGCAGAACACAGGGAGACATTTGATGCCTGCCTTATTCAAGTCACCAATAATCTCTCTTGCATCACTCACTTTTGTTAGAATTGGCTAATAGGCCACATGCCTCTGCTGAAGCCCGGCAGATATAAGGGGTGACCCTGCAAGCTGACTTCCTGAACCGAGCAGGGAGCAGCCAGCATGGGGCATGCTGGGCGACAGTTCCAAGCCCTGTTCTGGAAGAACTGGCTTTGCAGACTGCGGCACCCAGTAAGTGTTCTGGCTTTCCAGAGAGCTTTGGGAGGGAGGACTGGGTAGAGATCAGGGTCTCCTCTGGCTTATCCTGCTTCTTGGAGGTGCCAGCATCCACCGGGGGACCCAGACTGCAGGGTTGTTTCCCACTAGAATATATCCTATGGGCCAATATTGCTGAACTCTCACGGACATTCTATTGCTGAATAGAATCTTGTCAGAAAAAGGTTAATTTAGAAATAAAGTGACAAATCCCACGTGAAGGGATACACTCTGGCCCTGGACACATGGGGAAGGGCCCAGGGCCAGCACAGGAAGATTTGGTGGACTATGCAGAGCCCCCATTGAGGGCCCTACCCTGCCTGTGGAGCGGTGGGCAGATGGGGTGGGGGGGTAGGTTGGGAGTGGGGGAGGAGGGATGGGAGTGAGGGGAGGGAGAGGGAGAAGGGACTTACATGTGAAACAAGCTTGTTCCCTAACTTGAACTAATAAAAAAATAAAATAATAAAGAAGTATATATAAAAAAAAGAAATAAAGTGACAAGTGGAGCTTGAAGAATTGACGTTGGGGACGTTTGTTATAATAACTGAGTTGCAAGCCTTTTGGCTTAAGGAACAAGGCATTAGAAATGTTTAATGCGTAACCATAATATATGGATGCTGAGTCTAATGCCTGAGGACTAAGAACATAAATGGGCTCCACACCATACACCCCTCAGTGTTAGTCTATGATGTTTCTGTCTTAGTGTTAATTCACATCTTTTTTTTCAGAATTGTATCCAGTTTACAGCAGCTAGGCTTTCCTGAGCAGATTGGAGTTGTGCAAACCAAAATCATGCTAATATCTCAGTTAAAAGTGTGTATTTTAATGAAGTATGGTCATGATGAACAGTCTTTTATCCCTGTTGCTGCTGAGGAAGCCTCAGTACTAGAGTTGTCCCCTTCAGCAGCAGACCTGCCTGTCATGACAACTGAATTTCATTTGGCTGACTCGGGCAGAGCATCCTCCCCGCTCTCCTCACAATAAAGCAAATGTTTAAAGGAGGGTTTTCTCTGTCCTGAGATGTGAGGATCAGAAGAATCTAGCTGAGATTTTGATTGCACCAAAGGTTTGACATCAGAGATGCTCAAGGGAGACACAGGCTTCTGATGAACTGTGGTTGTGTTATTCTCTGCCAGTGTGGTTTTCCTTTGATGAGCAGTGGAATTCATTAAGATATAAGTTTCAGGATCTGCACCTATCACAACAGTGTTCCAGAGGGAGGTGGCTTCCCATGAACACGTTCTTTTCCTTTTGTCGACTTGAATTCATTAACTTCAATAGCCCCGTGATGTAGTGATGGGCGGTACCCAGACTCCCTGGCTCCTTAGCGGTAGAATGTGCTGCTTCCTTAGTGGGCTCTGTCTGACATTTACTAGTTGACTCATACAGGTGTCTTAGCTGCTTTTCTCCCTCGGAGATGGCCAGAATGGTTAGTGTTTATGATAAGCTCACAACAGGGCCCTTCAGATGAGTGGGGGTGATTCTTATCACAGCACAGTAGGAAAGAAACGAGTGTTTTAGTCATCTAGGACATGAGCTCTGGGCTCTGTGAGGAAAAGAGAGGAGTAGAGCTCTAGGCATCCAGCTTGCTGGACCAGAAATGGGTCAGAACAGAACCTCGGAGGCAACAGAATGGCAATGTGTCCACATCTCTTAATCAATTACAGTGGAAATATTGAGGGCAGGCCCCTCTGGGTGAATGTCTTTAAACTGACATGGTTTTCCTAGCTTCCTGTTCTCCAGTGGTGATCCGTAAATTCTGTTTTTTACATTATGGAATTAGAATGTTGTCACAGATGGGTACAACCAATCTGACGAAGTGAAGAAACAGTCTCAAACGTTTATCCTGTGAATAAGAATTTGGCATTGTTTGTATGAGAAGAGAAGCTTGTTTATTTTACACATACTTAAAAACCTCTTCATTTGGTTATTCTATGATTATAAATCCTTTATCTAAATTTTAAGGATTTTTTTCTTTTTCTTTTTGTTTCGTTTGATCTTTTGTCTTTCAACATAGCCCTGGCTGTTCCAGAACTCACTATGTAGCCCAGGCTAGCTTAGGACTCACAGAGATCTACTTGCCTCTGACTCCTAAGTGCTGGGATTAAAGGTGTGTACCACCATTCTTAGCTACTTAACTTTTAAATTATGTGTGTCTGTCTATGAATATGTACATATGAATGTAGGTCTGAAGAGGGTATCAGTCCCCAGGAGTTGACATTTTAGGCAGTTGTGAGCCAGCCTTTGTGGGTGCTGGGAACTGACTTTGGGTTTTCTGGAAGAGCAGTAAGCACTTTTAATGACCAAGGCATCTATTCAGTCCCTATGATTCCTTTAAAGACCATTTCATTATGGATAGTTGAGAGAAAAATTAAAACAAGATTAAGGATAGATAATACTCATCCCTATAGATGGTTAAGATTCTGTTTGGATCATTGTTTATGAGAAGTCTAATTTTATATTTATGTTAATGCCACTCATTTTATTCCTCTTGAGTTTTTATTTATTGCATAATCATTATTATAAGAACAAGGAAACAAATTTTAAACTACATGAAATTCCATTGTGATGATTCATGTACTTGTTTTCTTGGCATATATAATACACATATTTGATTGTTAATTCATAAACTTCCCTTTTCTCATTAACCATTGAAGCCTAACATTTTATAAGTTGATGTATGGTCTTCCTATTCGATGGCTTTATTGAATAATAGTTCATCATCAAATGCACATAACTTATTTGACTATGTCCTTGGTTCATGAAGGCACATTTTGCTCGTGTGGTGTATGTATGTGTTTGTGTTCAGGTGGGGTGTGTGTGTGCATATGTGTTTGTGCATATGTGTGTGTGTGTCAGAGATTGACAGCAGTGTCTTTTAATGCTCCCTACCTTAGTTTTTGATACAGGATCTCACACCTGGAGCTCACTGATTCAGGATGACTAGCTGCCCATTGAGCTGTCCCTACCTTCCCTCATGATAGAATTCTAGGTGTAAGTCAGCATGCCAGCTGTGGTCTAGAGTGGCTGGGCCTGCCTTGTTTCCTATGGATGATGACACCATTGCCCACCCTGTTTCCTACGGATGATGACACCATTGTCCACTCTGACCCTTGATCTTTCTTGGGATCATTGTCGTCAAATCTCATTTGTCTTGGTTCCTGTTCTCAGTGGTGACTGCTAACCTCTTCCCTTTTGCCCCTACTGTGGGGGATCCTGAATATTTATCAAGTAATGAAAGGTAACACAGCTGTTTGAGTTTGGACAATATTGCTGAAAACTTTGACTAGTAGTGGGGGATTAAAGTGTCATGTTGTATACATGGATAGCATGTTGGATCTTGAATGTTCTGGAAAGTCTCATGAGGAAAAGGTTTGGTCTGTAGGAGGATGCTATGTGGAGTTATGGCAACTTTACATGCTGGAGTGTAACGAAGGTTATTAGGTCATTGTCGGCATGGTGTTGAAGGGGATTATGGAACCCTGGTCTTTTCTTCTCCTTGTTTGCTCCCTGGCATATAGTTATAGTGGTTTTTTTCCACAACAAATTCCTTCCATGATGTATGGTGTTACCATAGGCTTGAAACAATAGGGGCAACTGATATAGACCAGAACTCTAGAACTGTCGGTCAAATTAACTTTTCTTTTTATAATATGATTACAGAAGCTACTTTGTTGTAGCAGACAGCTGGGGTTCTGAAAACCAACAGTTAATTCTCAACTACAGGCAGTAAAGGACAAAACTATATTAGAAATGTTCTCCTACTCTTCACTCTTCAGTATAGAACTCAGTGATATGTACTCTGGACTCCAGCCCCTTTTCACACATAATTCTCAGTGCTGTTGGTTCAAAAGGCCACAGTGAAGCTTTCTGCTAAGTATAGACAAGAGTTATGGTGTCTTGTCCATGTTCTTCCCTCAGGCATGGCTTGGAAGAAGTCCATGAGGTTGTCAGAGTGCCAGTATAGCAGCTTCTATGCTCAACACATGGGCAAGTTCAAATCAGCTTCCATTAGGGAGCTCCCAATCAGCCCAGCCCAAGCAGGCTGAACCTCAGCCTGTATCTCTAACTCACAGTCATCTACTTCAGGGTCTAACCCTTAAACCATCCTTAAAAAACACATTTTCAGGTTTCATTGACTTGAGCCTCTGACATTTCATGTGTGTGTATCTATGTTTTTGTTTTATAAAAAAAGAACCTCACACTTATTTGAGATTTTCATCTACTCCTAAGTTCTGATGCTCAAACCTGACTTGGTTTGAAGCAAAACTTTCTTTTGAAAACAAAACTTGCTGGCCTTAATGTCTGCCTTTTTTCTGAAACTGGAAACAATCATAGATATAAAGCCAGAAGTGGATCAGATTGTCTTTCTTTTTGACATTGTCTCAGAGGCTGCCACTGTTCTTGTTACTATTTTTGTGGAGTTAGAAGTTATAATTCAATGGCTTCCTGCCAAATATATTTGACTTAAAGTTCTGTTAGCAGAAACCAGGAAGTCATTGGTCAAGTGTCTGAATTCTTAGGTTGGAAAAAAAATTTTTTGACCCAAAAGCCCACTCCTGACAGCTCTTAAAACCTCAGAATGCCTTTTTATTGGAAAGAACCTCAAGAGTTCAAACATCATATTAGCAGACATTGGGTATGCTTCAAGTGAACTGACCTGTAAGTGGCTTAAATGAATAACAGCATTTAAGGGTCACTGCAGGGACCTTAGCTCTGAAACCAATATTGTTTGGATTAGGAGTCTTGCTGCGCCCTGACACTTGATAAGATATTTCTCATCAAGAGAGATTTTCCAGTAGTGAGCCTGTTGTCATACTGCAGGGCAGTTAGGCTAAATCTGTGCTTGACCATGTGGTATTTAGAAGTCTGTTTAGGCCGCTATATCACAATACTATATACAAAGTGGTGAAAAGAGAAATGTGTTGCTTCACTGTTGGAGGCTGGAAAGCTAAGGTTGAAGGACCAGCAGGCTA